CCGTTATAGGGTGGAATTTTGGAAGGCATACTGCACACTAGTACCGGTACCCACACACTCATACTCATACCGCACACCGCACACACATACTGGGATGGGATGGGAAAAGGGGTGTCTCGACCGGCCGATCGAGTGACTCGAGGAGCGTCGGGGCTCTGTATTTATACCCTCTCGGCGATCGACGGTTTGGGCAAAATGACGTATGCGCAAAATGATTGGCTGATTCTTAAGAGGCTCGGCTTCTGATTTGCATATTCGTTTCCTCTCGCATTTATCGATAATCGGGCAGCATTTTTTGGGTCATTCCAAATGGAATGACCATTTGACCACTGACTTTAAGTACCCACCCCTAGGATTGGTCATTCGGTCATCTGGTCAAGGATCGTGAAATAAAAATGCCAATATTCATTTCCAATAATTTATTAATCAAAATTATTGATATTTTTACAATAAATTAGTTTCGGAACAGAAGATATTGGTTTCAACAGCATGTCGTTCACTCAATGTTATGTTTTCGGTTTTCGGTTTGGTACTTTTGGGATTGACTGTATAGCCAATACATCCTTAATTCCAATGGAAGTTAAGGTTATCAAAGTTAAAATCAGTGTGCACATGCGTCTATGTATGTGCATCTGAATACTCGGCTCTCGCACGAAAGAAATTCTTAAGAATTAGTTCCATCAGCTCCTCCTCTACCATCTCCGATATTCCGTGAAGTGAAAACACGGTGGGTTGCATCTCCTCGCCATGGGGCATTAAATACGTCTTCCTCCGTGTTATCGTGAACGCGGCACGTTCATCAACGCGCGGCCGAGTTTGTCAGATTCCCGACCCGCGATAAAGGGTTTCGGAGCTCGAGCTGCACTCGGTATGTATCGCCGACCCGTTACTCCGCGAGGCGGCCTCGTGGATCTCTTCGCCGGTGCGATGCGCGGTGTTTCCGCGTGAAGTAAATTTTCCCCTGTACGGGCAGGGTACGAGCATCCGAGTGGCGGCGGTGCGTAAGCCTCTGCGAAATCCGTGCAAACGTAGTTGCGCTACCGCCGCGCTATCTGATCGCTCGTAACAGCCCCGACAGACGATGCATCCCAATGCAACCGGCTTTTTCTTACTTCTCTGGTTGTCGTTGCTTTTTCGAGAAGCGAACTTTCTTGTCGCGAACGCCGTAAAAGGTGCCCCTTCGCAGTCGCAGTGAAAGCTGTAAAATTTCGGAGTTTACGATTGCATGCAGGAATTTTGTTAACTTCTCTTGGAGAATTTCGAATCTTGACGGGAACTTGGGGAAAACACGGTCGATATCATTTTCATTGCATAGACTTCGGTTTTTGGATAACGGTAGTAACGAGATGAGAAATGAAAATTGGTGACTCGTATTCAACATTTAAATGGGATATCTTGATGAAGAGAAAATTTATGCGGGGACGTTCATTTATGGTTCAGGACTTGATTACAACTTCGTAATAGACGAGTTCTTAACAACCGACCGGTACGATGCTAGGCTCGATTACAGAGAAACGATGAAACTATTTTTCATCCGATCACGCACACGATTTACATTTGTACTTTCCTGATTAATGATACGGCGGTAAGAGTGAAATGAATGGGGAGTCTTCTTACAGGAAGGAGTAGTAAAAAATCTCTGCCACTACCTTAAGGCATCGTTTAATTTTTTGCTGGGCAAACATGTCTGACATCTCTCTACCGTCACAGTTGACGAGATATCTGATTGAAGCGATATGATATAATAAAACTGGTTGAATCGTGTACGAAATCTCATGTCTTTCCACGTATGATGATTTCTTCGAATTCTAACATTCGAATCCAGTGGCAAATTAATTTTGTTTTCCATTTTCTCATCAGAATTGTTTCTGTTTTGTAACGTTTCACTGGTATTTCCATGCGGATACCGTTGCCGTCGAAATGCGAACAATGAAACTGGGTAAGTGGGGCCTCGAGGCAGGCTGGATTCTCGGCCACTACGTCGCTTCAAGATTAACCAGATAAACTGATAGCTGCTTGAACACGTATCTTACAATTTGCTTTTAACGTTAATGAAGACCGACTCCTTCCAAAGGGAAGAGCTCGCTGGTTAGCCTTCTGACCGACGGGAAATTAATCACTTACAAAAAGTTGCACATTTATTAAAATACGGTCGCATATGCGCGAGACCAGCAACGATACGAAGTAAAAATCGTTTTTACGATTAGTTTGTTCGTCTGAACCATTCGGAAATCAATTTTAATTCACCGTTCTAGGAGCGAGTTTATTTTTGAACTCTTTTCTTGACGATACGGATTACACAATGCATCCAATGGGGTGAACGCAAAGGGTAAGCCATACAGTCGCTTCCTCATCGACTTCCAATAGGTATTTTATTCTTTCCCGTCGGGAAAGGGGAGAGCAGGCGTATAGGCAATCTGAAAGTTGGAAAAGCGAACGGCCAAACGGAAAGCGCGGTAGTTGTTTACGAAGACAGGCGCGCTGCGAAGACTAATGAGATTCAGCTTCCTTTCTTCATTAAGCCACCCACTGTATCCGACAAACACACGGTGCCGCCGTGAAGCGTGAGCGCAGGGATCCTCATTCGACCGCGTCTCAAACATCACGGAAGTAATTTAACCCGAAGCGTCGACGCGACGGTGTCGATGCCCCGGGGCCAAACGAGCGTTTACCATTGGATTTTAATATACCTACCCCGACCCGTTTAATATACCGTCGGCGTGGAATCAACGCGACGCGACAGGGAGAACGGCCTCGTAAAGAACGAAGTGCGACGCTCGGCCGTGTGTGGTGCACCGGACAGGCGGACAGTCTTGCCCGCTTATGTAAGCGACGATAAACACGCTCCGACGGGAGCCAACGCGCCGGTGCTACTTTTTCCTCTCGAACAAAGCTACGTCGCGGCGCGAAACTATCGCGCGGAACGCGTTATCCCTCTATCCGAGGGCTTATCTATGGAAATGCAATACCTTTCTGCAGTGAAACTGCGCCGGAGTTACGTCTTAATGTCTCATACGTATGTAGCGTATTTCGCGAGATCGTCGCCTCGTTCGAAGCCGAGAAATAGCTTTTCTTCTTATGCAGATTCCTGACAAATTTCAGAGAATTTCTTAGATTTTCGTTTAAAAACATCTCCTCCTTCCTGGATGTATTTGTGTCAATTTCAGTTTTACAATGCAACGTTCCAGTCGACTTTCTTTGGTAATCTCATTTTGTGCGAAGCTTCGTTCGTTTCACGATGCAACTCAACGATTCGTCTTTCTTCGAGCTCACAGTCTGGATCCGTGTTCGTGCTTAGCAGGTTAGCCCTGCTACTCGAAGGTGTATAGGGCAAGCGATCGTAGGTCACTTGGGGGCACTTGATAGAGATAATTGCCTCGTTACTGGGGCGGTACAGCGCGAGACACGACGCGATAATGTGCTGTCGATCAAAGCCAATGGGCAGCAGGTCCTAGGTTCAGGACGGCGGCGTGGCAAGGCGATCCGGTTGCTCAGAATCGTCGGTGTACATGTTTAGTTATGCAATAGCTGGACGTATAGGTATCTGGCGCTGTAGTGCCGTCTTCTCTGTTACATTGTTTCCGTCTTTTCTCCGTAATTTCTCGGGGATCAGTCGGTTCGCGTGTATGCGAAGAGTTTAAGACTGCGATTTTTAAATAATGTTGGAATTTACTGCTCAATCAAACGTATGTCCGAAGTACTTACAACTCGATTGACCGAGTGAGCTAAATTATTTATAAATTAAAACTCGAGACTCGTGATTGAATTATACAAGAACGGTTCATTTATATCGCCCACGAAAAAACGTACAACTTGCAGCTCGACTCTTGTACCGTTTCATCCGTCCGGATCTGACAAAACAAGCGGGCGATTCGCGAAGAAGTGTATTGTACGCGCGGGAACGAAAGAAAAACGCGATCATCGCGGTTCAAGTATCCGTCTGTGTCGTTCGCATTTTCTGCATCGACTGTTTTTCCCTATTCTAGCTCGGTGGTTCGTGCATCGAACCAAGCGGTGTACCAGCAAAAAGTCGGATACGGTTTTAGGCGCAACAGGGTTTTGCGAACCTACCTACCTGTCTGGCTGCGTATTTTCGCAGTTCATTCCGAGCGTGACTCGTTCGGTCTGCGTGACAAAAAATTCAATTTTTCGTCGCCGCTCGCTCCTGCGCGCGTCCTAGCCTATTTATTCCCGTGCTATCCCTAGACGAGCGGATGAAAGTTTATACGGACCGAGTTCTCGGTTTACCTTTGTCCGTCATTTCCAGCTCGATTTACTGTAAATTGCCACCGTGATCCATGCATGTTTTTATGCCGACCGTTAAAGTGCTGCGGATCAATTCGATTGCATTTGATCGCACCCGTAAATGTATATATATTTCAGCGTAAACAGAATTTCGACGTGTGCTTCCGTGGAGCACAGAGTTAAATAACAGCTATTCCTGGTCGTTAACTTGAATTACATGAAAAAACGTCATTTTATAGTCAGACTGTCTTATAAAACGCGATTTATAAATAATTATGTTTTCACGGTAATTAATTTGATGTTTCCGTCGAAGCTTGTTACTGTCTACTTGAAGCAGAAAAATATCGCGCACCGTTATTGTCGGCAACTTATTACCGTTCCGAACGACTTGAACAGTAGTTAAGATTAAATATTGAGAAATCGATGGCACGAGCTATCTTGGAAAGAGTCATTTCCACTCGGGATCGCGTAACTTTCCCGTGTCCGCTGCGACGTCGTCCGCGAACCCGGCCAGATCTGGAACGTCCGAGGAGAAATCAAACAGAGATGGCAAGTGAATTACACGCACCGTCGATGCATCGCTGGAATCGTTCAATAAATTAACTTAATAGCTGGAGTTATGCAAGCGCAGCCTAACCCGTATACGTCAGTGGTCACGAACCGAGGGTGGGAGGGGACGGTAGAAGCGGACGACGATTCTACATCTTCCTTAGGATCGTTTTCGATCTGTCGCAATAAAAGTTGCACTCCGCGAGTTTTCGTTTCCGTGGGAGGATGTGTACACGCTGCTTAATATCAGCGGAACTTGAATTTCATTAAGCGTCGATCGAGGCGGAAACTTTCCGCGGAAGCATCGATAAATCGTAACTGTTGATCGTTAACCCGACGTTTCTCGTCCCCCATCGCTTTCTTCAATCGTTAGCTCGGTAACGCGAGATGCAATCGAGAAGTTCGTTTAACGTTCGAGTGATACTTCAATGATCAAGTACAGCCGCGAACCTCTTCCGTGTTTTTTCTTTCTTTTCTGTCATTGTTGTGTTGACGGGAATCTGGTACCGGTTAGTCGTTGATCATCGTTGGGGACAGGCTAGAATTCCTCGGCTGCTTGTTATTCATTCTAATTGGATTTACTAAAATTATGATATTAAATTTTAATCGATTGAGTAGAACGTCAGTTGAGTTTTGCCCTACGTAACGCAGTTCTACGTCCACCATTCTTCTATCTGTATCTGAATTTAGACGTCGTTACAAACACTGATTGTCTTTAATCGTCCGTCTTTTTGCTCGCCAAATTCCATTGTTTTCGGCCGCGATGTTTCACTGGAAATCAGAACACGGCTCATCGTGCGGCTGCCGCGTAACTTCCGACTTAGGCTAACGCAGTTTAAGTTTACTGAGTAACGAGAATCAGCGCTTTGTGCGCAGCCAGAGTCGTTGACTCGTCCATTTTTACTTTAAACGACCTTCCTCCGCGACCGGATTCGCCAAACTCAGGTGATGTACAATCGCGACGAAGAACTTGGGACAAAGTTACGGTACGTCGCGCCGGCACACCGCGCGCACCGCCCGCCCGGGGCAGGATCTCTCGAGTTCGTAGGTTATTACGAGGCGCACTCTGCTCGTGAAAGTCGATCAAGCCGTGGATGAACAAGAAAGTTAACCTCTCAGTTTAGATCCGGTTTGCATATCCTTGAAGGGAAGAAAACAAATCCAGCGTTTTGGGAGGCCAAAAGATTATGCAAACACTGTGATTTCTTTTATGATAATATATCATATGGAATAGGTTGTTAAGAATCGACAGGATAATATAATATTTATTAATCCTATTTCAAAATCTTTGAAACACTGAACACCGGAAGTATACAAAATTCAGGCGGATTGCATTTTAATCAAATTATCTTTTACTTAATAACACATAGACAACCTCGTTCTGTTCACGTACTCTTGGTCTCTCTCGAGCCATTGCTATTCTCGGAGAGAAGCGTCGAGTAAACGGACGAAGCACGTGTGCGGGGGATGATATTTCTTTGTCGGCCCACAGGCAATCAACTAATCTGTCGATCTTCATGAACGCGTTAATTACCGAGGTCGGTGCGGCGCGGCGTTTTCTCCACGACCGATTCTCCCAGTGAAGACGAGTCGTTTCGTCGGCTGACTTCGAGTTATCGGACCCGGCTCGTCAGCATTTTTAAAACACACACGCAATTGTATCGGATCTCGTTTAATTACGACCCAATTACCTCGATTTTTATTCTTTCCTTCTCTACCGCCGACCGATCGTGCAAAACACAACTGCGTTTTTTATGCGCACCGACGGAGTTTATGCCCTGCTGTAAATCTCCATGGAAATCGGCCGCAGCGAAACAACGCAATGGGATCGTTATCGCTTTGAGCGACAATAACGATCTTAATTGTTTGACCGGTATTTGAAAACACGAACGGGCTCCGCGTTGCATTCCATTCCCAATCGGGAACGACCCAATTGCGTACGCTCTTTTTGCGATAGCTAATTTATTCACGCTTCCTCAGTATTATTTGAAAAACAAATGACAGATCACGATAATGCATTGTCGTTCTAGTAAATCCTCAAAGTTAAATTAATTATCTACGCTTGACTTTTTTAAATTGACTTAAATTCTATAGTATCTGAAGAGTAACTCAAAATTATTTCTAGTTCAATTCCCCTGTTTTACTAAAAGCAAACGGTCTCACCTGGATCAGTAAATCCCCTAAACGGGTCAACTGTCTCCAGCGGCTAATCACGACAAAAGACGCGTTTAAATTGGCTGCGTGTTCGCCCCGTGACCGTAACAGCGTCACCGTTACGAATAATCCATGCTAAATGATCGGAGCCAGCGTCTACTACCACTTGAGCACGAAGGCGCGCGTAATGGCGATCGTTGTCCGATATCGATTCACCCACGAACCGTGTACACGTCTTTCTCAAGAAGCGTGTCGTAAAACAGCTTCGAGGCCTTGTCCCTCGAGGCGAGAAACAGTTAAAAACGTTAGATATTTCCTTGAAAGAGATCTAATGAAATTGCACGAGCTAATAAAGATACAATGTATTGTAATCATTGGAACAGAAGTCGTATCAGATCGAGAAATCTTATTTGAAGTAGTAACGCGAGCCTTTATGTTTTTCAATTTATAAACTGTAATTCAAAATTGAACCCTAATTTTGGTTGCGACTTGAGCAGATTTTTTGGTCGACCACGGAACTTCGGGCCCTTTGGGTGTTTTCGAAGAACGAAGGATGATAAAAACGCGGAGCGCGTTGCGGTCGCGAGAAATGTACGGGTCTCGGTTTACGAGTACAAGCGGAGGGGCGACGCTAGGCGACGCGAGTACACGAAGGGCGCGGCGGATTATGGGGATTTGCGGTCGGCAGGTCGCGAAATTATACCGTGAAGCGAGAACAAAAGAGCGAACGGTTCGTACGTCCATCCAGAAATTTTATGGCGCCGCTCAGGGTACGGGGAGCGCAGTTTAACATCAATTAAACCGTCTAAAAGCTGCCTCTCGCCTGGCAATGAGCGAATTAATTCTCTTATTTAATGCGAGCTCTTTTTGTGTTCGCTTATTTTTCCCCGCTTCTATTCCCGCCTGTCTCTTCGTAGGATAATATTTTTCATCGTTCGTACTTTTTCGGGATCATTTTTCAGTCTTTTTTCTGGAAATTCTCGTAATATATTCAGAGTCAGGTGAGGCTAGATAACGTCAGTTTGCACGAACGATTGATACACGGCAGTGAGAAAGGGGAAGTTAAGGGACGGAAAAGATTGCACATTTTCATCGTTCGCGAGGAAAGCTCGCGCGAGTTATCAACGCCTCGGCGCGAGTCGTAAACCGAGGTACAATGACGCGATAAAAATTCATCACGTGTTAAGAGGCATCGGGGAGGGAAAGTAGAGAAAAAGGTAACGGCTCGGAGGCAGGAAGAAGAGGCCGAGGAAGACGGTATCCACTTTAAACGGAACTCGCGACCCTTTGCTTCGGGATCATTTATGACGTTTAAAAACTCGTTAAAAAGTTGGTCGATGCGAACGGGTATAGATCCAACGGCTCCCTCCCCCTCTTATACCTCGTGCCTTGATCCATGCTACTTTCCGCGCGCCCCTTCTCCCTTTCTCTATCTGCCACGGCATGGGGATTATAAAAGTTTGATAAGGCGATAAATAATTATCCTCAAACCCATCGCGAGCTGTGGCTAACTCTTGAGTTGCTCTACAGTTTTCAACCCTCCCTTCTACTCTCCCACGTTTCTATTTTTTTTCTCTTTCCAAGCTGTTCCTGCTCCACGCCCATTTTTCCTATCGCTGCTATTAACTCGTCCAGCTGGTTATATCCTTTTTTATTGTTTCGACTTCGAACCTTTTTCTTTCAGTAATGAAACGTCACGCTCTTCAGAAGACCTTTTTCTCTCTTGATTCCTTCATTGCAGATTTTCATTCATTCATACTTTCCATTGCGGCAAGCGTCAATATTTTATAAAAGATGCCATAGTACATCTACTAGTGAAAAGATAAGGTAACTTGATAAATTACTGAATGCAATCAAGCAGAAAATATCGCGTGCACGCTGTTGCGCATCCAACAATTTTTGCAACCTCCGCGCTGCAACCTTTCTTACCTATTCCTGTTCCCCTTATCTCCTTGCTTGCTTGCACTCTGGGTATCTCTCTTCTCGACCTCCCACATATGTCTTCCCTCTTAGTCCCATTCTTTAACTTATCTTGCCAAACTCGTTTCTTCGGCACTTTGTTCTTCAATTTTTCCCTCTATTTTTTGTTCTTCCAGGAACCCCGCGTAATCTCTGCGTGTTTATCTTCTCCGCTCGTTCTTCTCATTATCTTCCTCCTCTCTCTACATCGCTTAAACTTCTTCCTGAATACAACTCCTTATTTGCGCTTCTTCTCTGTCAACCAATTCACCTCTCCTTCTGAGTTTACCCTCGCTCTTCTCCTAAACACTGGCTATACCCCCTTCTTCCATTTTTTCTCCGTTTTCTTGATGCTTCAATCTACCCGCGCTCCCCCGCAATTCTCGGCCGTTCTCTTCTCACGATCTCTCGCGAGCCAGCTACGTTTACCGAGAAACTTTCCACCGCTCGGTGCACTCCGACATGCAAGGGCGAGCGAGTAAGGGTCTTGCGCTTGTACGAACGCGACGGGTACCTATGTCGACGTCGGCGATATTCGCTGTCGTATCCAAACGCTGCGTCTCGCTTCTCGAGCTTTACGACCGCTATCGAGCTTCGTGACCGGGAACTCGAGCCGAGGGTCCGTGGATTTTGGACTCTCACCGTCCGAGGGGAATCACCCATCTCCTCTTCTCTGTAGGCTATAATTTTCATCCCCCGCCATCGGCCGGTTATACACCCGCGATTCCGCGCGTTAGGTAGGGACTTATTACGTACAACTTTCGTATGACCGCCCGACTGGAGAACCAACACAGGAACGGTTTCGTGCACGATTTATTCGTGGCTCGAGTCGCCCCCAATTTCATAACCGAGCAGCTTTCATCGAATAACTGGAGATCACAAGACAAGTCGTACAAGTTCGTACTTACAATTAGACAGCCTTTTTTATTAGGCAATTACAGGTAATGGCTGAAGTATGATAAATGAAGAAATCTAATCCTACCTATCTGTAGTCTCTCAATTTGATATATCATTAATTAAATCATACTGTTGGACGTGAATTCGTGTACAAAGCCGTGGTCAACAGGATAAATTTGAACTTTGTTCTCAACATACACAGCTAAATTCACTTCCAATAATTCACACAGATATCATTACTACTTTAATGAAACGTTCAGGTTGCCTCCGCTAACTAAGTATATCATATTATCATGTTCGTACCTCTACTCGTTTTATACAATTCTCTGAGCTACGATCAGGTTCTCTATTATTCACTGATTCCGTGTCGTAATTCGTCGATGATCCGGGACAATAGTCGAATGCATCTTAAGACGGGGGAACCGCGTGGAAAAGAGCGCGGAATGGAAGGACAGCGGGGGCGAGGAGACTGCATGGGTAGTGGCGCGGACAAGAGGAGGGTAAATCGTTGCATCGGTAATGGCCGCCATTGTGGCTTGATGAGGCGACCGTGTGTGCGTGCAGATTGCCATTGTGTGAGTCCCATCGAGCATTCAGACGACGCCGGGGGGTTGGCGGCGGCGGCGTGCAATTCGGGGGTGGCTCGAAACGCCGGCGCTATCGGTCGGCGCAGGATAGCAGTAGGTAGCTCTACGGATTATGCAGAGCCGGGAGTTAGCCTTCTCTGTCTCCACCTCTGGTACCCATCGGACAGAGACGGCGCGAGGGGAAGTCGAAAGGGGGTGGCGCGACAGAGAGAGTGATACGTCGAGTAAACGCGTGCACACGAGTGTGCAGTGCGCAACGTGTGCAAGCGGTTCCGTTCGCGGTTCGCGACAGCGTCTGCGCTCGCGCGCCAACGACAGCAGGTAGCTAGAGCTAGGAGCTCTAGAGTGGCTACGAGAGGAGTCCTGCTGGATGGCTAGACCCCTAGCTAGCTAGCTAGCTCGCGGAGCACGGCGTCGGTCGTGGGACAATTTATATGCTAATTTATATGCGCTTAATAACGATGTCCGACGATGCTTACCGACACGCCCTTCGGGCGGTGCCCGCCGCCGATTAAATCGATGCGAGCGTTGGCCCGCGCCGATCTCTCAGTCGAACAGCTCGACCGCTTCTGCGTTACGCCTCTACGTACGTACCTGTGCTCTAGCCGGCATGTTCCGATGGCGGTTTTTCCTTCGAATTTAGGGACTCGTTAGAACGATCGAATTGGACTGTCACGATGGAGTGGCTGATCGTATCCTGGTCATGGATCCGACGCGACGTGACGTTTCAACCGCAAGATGGAATCGACGGTGACGGTAATCGCGGCCGGGTACGTCGACAGGTTATTACTCCGTTGTTTGTCGTTCTCGTTCGACCACTGTGATTGCATAACAAATGGGAATCTGCTACTGGAACACGGCTGAGAAAATAATTCGAGACCCGTTCACAAATTGGAATTATTTCTACCAAAAACTGTTTATTGACATAGTCGTAAGTTTCACTATGGTCACTCGGTAATTACGTTTGACCCGCGTGGTGACCGAATCTAGCCGCTGAATGGGTGAATGATGGTAAAAGTCATGGAAGAGAGCGGTGGAGGCGCGCATGACTCGACGTGTAACAGGTTGCAGCGATGTAAAGTAATTAAAGGCGGTTCAATTAATAGAGTTTCAAATGCGAACGCGGATAGGTAAGCAGACTCGCGTTCCGGCGATCAGTTCGTTAAAGGGATTCGTAACGTTTAAAGCTGATGAACATTGGCGAGCGTATTTACCGCGTGTAAGCGCGAATTGCTCGAACGAGAGCTCTCGATATCTGTTCGCTTCGTTTTACCTATCGCGCGGCACGTCAAACGTTGTTTCGACGTATTTATTAGAAAGAAAAACCGGCATCGAATTTCTGTCGAGGATCTATCGAACAAACTTACCGTTCGAAACCGAGTTCCACGAGTTATTCCCAACTTCGGTTGGAAATCGTAGACAAACACGTCGAACGATCCTTTATCTCACTCTCTCTCTCACTCTCTCTCTCTCTCTCTCTTTCCATCGAAATCTACACACGCGTATATAACTGAGAAGTTCGGGAAACTGCGTTTCGAGAAAAACGATTTCGGTGTTTCGCCTGTCACCGCGTATCGCGATGTTTCTGTCTTCCGGAAGCCGCAACAATTTCGGCAAGTTTCACGTGGAATGGTAAAAATCGAGATGCGAAACCAGTACCGTGTCATTGAAATATGTACAAATACTTTTGAAAGGCATACGAAATAGAATGAAATAAAATTTCTACTATAAAATCCTTTCAATCGTACATTTTCATTACACCAGGGTATACAATTGTCGGTGATCAACATTCGTTTCTACCTACACTATTTCTCATTATCGTTATCTGAGATTTGCATTCCAACTCCGCGGAGCAAACGGCAAATATGTACACACAGCGAAACCACAGGCATCTCTGCCGAACGCGCAAGTGCACAACTTAAATCGCAATTAAACCAGCATAGAAGCTTCGCACTGTTACGCCAGTCTAGGCACACACATACGCAGCTACGTACGTACCGGCAGATGAATGTAGCGGCATTAGCCTGCGAGATGCGAGTTCCTCCCGCAAATTGCGCCGTCGAGACGCGAGCCCATCAAACTTCTCAAAGACTCGGCCTTGCTAATTGATGTGCCCATTTGATGCGAGGCGCGCATCCAAGAGGTCGGATCGAGGTTCTGCCTCGCTGCTAGAATCTTGGACCACCCGGTAGGAGACCCAGGGTGTACGTTACAGGAGAACCTCCGATCTCGTTTGTTCGATCCCGGTGTGGTAGCGAGGGCATCGGGATCGTGGCAGAAACCAGTTCGTGTCCCGTGTCGGTCTTGAACCTTCCCGGGATCCTGCTCGTGGTGGTCCTGTTACTCGATTTTTCCCTGTTCCGTCCCGGTTCACTCGGGCACGGGTTGCGTCACGTCAATTCGGTCGGCACGTACATTAAGTTCACGAGAAATCAGGCAAACGCCGTTAGCTCCGTCCACGAATTGGCTCCCCGTTGAGACTGTAATGTATCACGTCGTAAATCTAAGCCTGCAGCGTTTGGTGACGCCGGTTGTTGCTACCGTTTTCCGAGTTCTTATCTCTCATTTGGTCTTCGTTCGGTTCTCCTTCGGTTTTCCTTCGGTTTTCGCGTTTGACGTTATCGAATGTAAAAGAGAATTGTTCAGTGCGTCGGTAGACGGGGAGGATCCGGTAGACATAAATTACGAAACTGACAAGCGACGATTAATCCTACTCGAGTAATGATCGTAAAGATCGAGACATCCATCATTACCTGCTAAAACAACGAATTAGCGTTATCGCTGTTCTGTTAGGACATAGATTAGACTTCGTCCGGTGTCAGTCGAGCATCATTATCCTACTTTTAATAAACCAGCTATTACTGTTAAAGATACCATTTCCACGCTAGTCCACCCACGCGGTCGTTAAATTAGTCATGTTAAAATATCGCCCATCGTGAGTAAACGTTATCGTTCAAAGTGTATTCGATACCGGCCGTGTATAAATTAAGTTATTAGAAGCTGTAATTAGCGAAACGAGGCATACGAGCTGGAATGAGGCGATTTCACGGGAAAGGTAGTCGCCGCACACCGGTTCGGCAGGTTTTTTCGCTCGAGCCGAGCGTTTCTGATCGACGCGATGCGACGCGGAGCGCCGGCGTTCGCCTTGATCTCTTCGATAGGACCGAAGTACATCACAGTGTTCTTAAGATTCTTCAGTAAGTTCCTTCGTTGAGTCACGGGAAAGTCCCAGCGCGCATTTGTCAATCCTAGTATCCGCTGTTTGCTTATCATTTATATCCTCCTTATTATATTCATCGCGCATAAGGTTTAAGATTTCTTACTTCGCAATCAACTTTCCTCGCATTTGTCCAATTCCTTTACAAACTCGTTTAGCTCGAAAGACATATTTCCCCGCTTAATAAAAATGTGCCTCCGGTCGCCTCGGGCGAACCAGTGGCATTGTGGTGACAGAGTATGTTAATAAACCACTCGAATAACCACGATCCCTTCTTAGAAGGCATCAAAGCGTGGAACGTATCCTGATAAATTTTGCTCGCAAAACGTCGAGCAAGCGGTGATAGCTGTTCATTGTACGGCCGCGACGTGATTTAGGTCCGCGCAAACAAAGGTAGTTTCGAAAGAAAATATTTTATAACGTCGTTGACTTTACCGGCGCGCGCTGCCAAAGAGAAGATCGTCGATCTCGTAGGCAATCTTCGTTCGGAATTCGCGATTATAATTTATACCGAAGCTCGCGGCCTGTGTGGACTTTGGGTATACAAAGACATTATAGAGCGCGCGGCAGTCATGGGACGAGAAAGAAAGTTAGAGAGTGAGAGAGAGAGAGACGGAGGGAGAGACTGACTCGATGGAGTTCCGTAAAGAGATTTTCATTATGAATGCTGGAGACTGAAAGACACTGTTCTGCGAGAGGTTATGAAAATTTAACACGCCAGAACTCTGGTTTCAGCCAGATCGCGACAAACCGTTCTATCCATTCTCGCACAGCCAGTTTCGGTTCCCCAGTCTCTCTTTTTCCTTCGCCGTTTCTACTTTTCCCGTGGCCTCGTTCCTCTTTCTCGTCATCTGCGATAGTTCTGACTAATAAATACGAGGAAAAGAGGCGTGTATTACTCGGTAAAATGGTTTTATCCCGACGAATAGAAAATTTTACATTCCTTAATGGCGACGTTAATGGCGAACGAAGACGTGGATTTCAATTTGCAGCATTAAAAGCAACATTTTAAAAAAATTTTATCGCTTTGAATTCAACCTCGGAGCTTTCATAAATTTTTATTATCGGCTTTACGTTATCACGATTGAAACAACCAATTACTCGTCGTATATTTTTATTTTGAAAAAGAAGTAGAAAATATTAAGTGGTACTCGCGAGCTGTTTAATCTCACGGTATCGTCGCTGTTAAACGTATATCATCTGAAATATCTAATGAATACAGTCAGATTAAATCTGAACTCGATCGATTCTGGTCTCCGTCAGGAAACTCCGGCCTTGCCTTTCGCCGCGGGACGATTTATTTCTGCGGCACGCCGCGCACCTGCAGGAAAAACGGCCGTGCGAAACGCGCGGCATTCCACGGCCGAATAGCGTTTTCCTGTTCGCTCGCGTTTCGGTTGTATTCGCCAGGGATTTACGGCGGAACGCGTACATAAACGAGCGCGAAATTCTTTCAGTTTCGACTGTCCACGTGGAGCAAACGACGTGTCTGAATTATGCAAAACAATTTCCACGCGCGTCTAAACCGGCTAACCGACCGATTTCGTTCGCAGACACGAATCGCGAATTACTTCGCCGACGTGCAGTCTTGTTTCCTGGACGGACATTCTTTTAAACTGTTTACGATAGCTATTCTCGTTTATCTTAACGAAAATAACGCTTGAAATTTGTTTACAACTGGAAGCTTAAATGGGAAACACTTTTTATACCTTGTAAGTGTAAAGAGGTACGTATATCCTATTGAATTCTAAAATATAAATATAAAAATTATATCGTTGAATGTTTCAAAACGAATGAAATAGTTCATTGTGTTAAAATGACAGCAGATGCGAAGGAATTTCGATGGAAAGCGTAATTCTGTTTTATTAAAAAATATCATTTTCAAAGGACGCAATGCTTGTTTGGAAAAATGGATACGTTTTCAATTCGACACCCGCGTAGGTAATACTTGATATTTTGTTATAAAACTGTAAACCGTGATGATCCATGTATAAATCTCCGGTTCAGTGCCTCGTTTTCTCCAATTTCGTTAGATAATCGCTACAGTCGAGTATTTTGCATCAACGCCACTGGTTTAAATCGATAACAAATACAGAGTTTATTCAAGCAAGTAAATCAAAATTAAAAATTTCAATTTATTTCCACGGTCGCATACACAATCGAACATTTCTCTCACTCGTTTATCGCGCGCCACACTTGGCGTTAAAAAGCAAACTCCGCTCCAATCTATTCTCCACTCAGCCGAACGAATTTTTCCTATTACAAATAACCAGGCGTCCGATCGAAGTTTGCCCCACGAATCGAACCACGGTTCCCCGAAGCCACCGCGCGAACAGGCTCGCACGTTGAAGCACGTGCTGTCAGCCGACGTACCATGTGTACCCCGCCGCCACCCACGTCACGGCCGCAACACGGTTCCTATCTCTTTCCCCGTAATCGTGAGTCGTGGTGTCGCCGAGGATTCCCTCGTTCCCGAGGAATCGCTCGAAGGCTGTTTGCCGAGGTGAAGCACGACAGTGTACCTGATCCATCGACCGCGAACGCCGACGTACCGGCGTACTCGTGCACTTGTCTCCCTTCGTCTACGCACACACCGCCGCGACGCAAGGATTCGGATAATATACGTTGACGTTACTCGAGGATAGGTACACGCGAGAAAACTGGCCGCAAAGGGAACCAGGATGACTGAGTGTGATGAACTCTGAACGAGAGACACACGTGAGTCGCGATTCGCGTTGGTGTCGAGGGATAGTCGAAGAGACGATGTAAAGCTCGAGGAGTTATTTGACGGTGTGAATGACTCGAATGATTGACTTCCCGCCGAGAGTAGGTTCCCTTAGGATTGAAAGTCGATTATGTTTTAATTAAATGAGAAGTCAGTAAGACTGTAATGCCGCATTTAGAATTTCAAACTTCACATAAGTTATGGATGATTTAAATGCGAATGGGTCAAACAATCGCACGTTTCCCGAAGATAAAATATGGATTCGTTTTAGATTCGCCATTTGCAATTGCGATCTTGAGACTCTCGAGAAGTTTATTGGTATTCACGAGATTTATTGGCATGTTTAAAGTGTGCTTTTTGTGATTCAGAAATTCCGTCCGTTATTATCCTTGAACTTTCACGTGCGAAACTGAACGTACAAATTATTCCGCATCCGAGTTTAAGTTCCAGTTTAAATTTAAATTGTTTACACGATTGTTTCGTCGCTGTTCCTCGGATATTTTTGCCCCGGAGCTTCCTTATCGCGTGAAAAGAGAGTATTCTGCAGTTTCTACAAAATCCTTGGTCTTATCGTATCTCAAACAACTAGTAACCTTAATCACCCCTTGGCTTCTTCCGGTCCCAGTAAAAGTTCGCGAGCGTTACGGATTTCCTGCTTCCCTTTAAACTGAATCTTGTCGCGAGAAGAAAACAACAGTCGCTTCGATCCGCCTTGTTTGCTTTAGAATAGAATCGGTTAAGAAAATATGGAACATTATTTAAATACTGAACTATTTCCGATCCAATCTCCAAACTGGCGAGCCAAGAGCAATCCCAAAAACTTTTCTTCGAAATATGAGACCAGTGCCATTATTGCTTCGCATAATCTATTTAAAAACTTGTTAATGCAATATTATCAACTTCTGTTCGATCGTTCTTTCAACGACGTATCCGTTCTAAATTATTTGTTGACCAATAATTTTTGGGACACGTGTCGCCGACGCCACTCCTAACACCCGAAAACAACGTGACAACGCTTCTATAGAAAAATGCCGAAAGAGGGACAAAGAAACGGAAGTCTCGGGACGATCTCGCGGCGATAACCCAGTGACACGGACCCGCGGGCGAGTTTTCTCGTATCCAGAAACTATCGTCGACCGGTATTTACGTGTAACGACGGTATTTATGTGCCGTATCGGTGTTGGTGGGTTTTATCTGGTCCGCAGCCTGATTGCAGGGTCAAGTGAGATCGCCGAGCTTATCTGTTTAACGAGTTTCCTGTTTCGACTGTTTTTCTTTCCTCCGTCCCGGGCGTTTGTTCCTTCCGAGCACGTGGAACGATTGCACGTCTTAATTCCTTAAATGGCCCGGCGAAAAACAATCTCTCAGTACCCAAGCCCGGCTGTATTTAATTGTATCCGCCGAAAAAGCTCTCGATTTCAAATGATAGCCATTGTTAGTATTTACGCCGCTTCTTTTATTGTTTTTTTTCTCGTTCGTCTAACAAAATTCTGAACCATAAATGTGAACTGAAATTCGAGAACTGAAAAATCGGAATTTACTGCGGAACATTCGGACGTTTTTCAATTTAATTCCTAACGACCGTGCGTTTAAACGTCCGTTTCAGTGGAACGGTTTTGACGAACGTGGCCTCTAAAACATACTGACAAA